CTCCAACCAACGTGCTAGATAATTGTGTGCAATTGAGCACACTGGACCCTCACCAGAGTAGATTGTGAGATTTTTTTTAATGCTAATTTTTAAATCTATTTGAGTTTTTTTTTTTTTTTTCGAAGTGTGTCAAGAACAGTGACTTGGGATTTATGGATGGCGATAATATTCACAGCCATACAATATATAATGAACTGATCAGTTGAAGAAGAAGAAAGAAATAGAGAAAGGAGTAGCGCGAAATTACACCGCGCAGAAAACGTCTCCAATGTACTCTTTCAGTCTGACCCCTACAGCCCACCACTCGCATCTCCTCCTCCATAGAAGCTCCGGCAGATTTCCGCCTACAATTCTGATTAGTTCCTTCACTGTTCGATCGTCTTCCAGTCTTCAGGAGGTCGAGAAGTTTTCAGAATCATCGGCTGACCGCAAAGACCTCAGTTCGGAGCTCTACGCTTCGGTTCCGCTGCCTCCTATTAAGACTGCAAAGAGAGTGGTTCTGGTAAGGCATGGACAGAGCACGTGGAATGCGGAAGGTAGAATTCAAGGAAGCTCCAATTTCTCTGTTCTCACTAAGAAAGGGGAAGCTCAGGCAGAGACCTCTCGCCAAATGCTCTTTGACGATGCATTTGATGTCTGCTTCAGCAGGTTTCCTGTCTTTTTAATTCTATTTCGATTCATTATCAAGCAGTGGCAACTTTCGGAAGTGATTTCATCGATATTGAAACATATTTTGTTCAGCAAATGTTTGTGTCTGTTGCATGACTTTACCTTATATTGGTTCATTACCTAAAATTTGGCATTGTCTAGACCTGGAATTGCTCGATAGCGAACGGATACGGTTGATTATGCACACTAATGGATGTTTCTCATTAAGGAAAATTGTTGCAATTTTAACTCATTGTTTTGCTTAACGGAGATGAATTACGCTTCCAGCCCCCTAGTGCGATCAAAGAGGACTGCAGAAATTATATGGGGTGATCGTGAGGAGGTGATACTTACAGATTCAGAACTAAGGGAAATTGATTTATATTCATTTCAAGTAAGTTCCGTGTCACAACCTTCCAAAGGGAGGTTTTCCTTTTAGTTTTTCATTTGATGGATTGATTAGTCTAAAAATTGATAGTTAATCTTATCGATGTTCTCCTCACTCTTGTTATGATTGCTGCGGTTGGGTGGACTCAGGGTCTACTCAAGCACGAAGGGAAGGAGAAATTTGGTGCCGCTTATCGTCAATGGCAGGTAGATGCTGCAAATTTTAACATTGATGGCCACTATCCAGTGAGGGAGTTGTGGACGCGTGCTCGAAATTGTTGGAATAGAATTCTTGCTCACGAGAGCAGATCTGTCCTAGTGGTTGCTCACAATGCTGTCAATCAGGCTCTTGTTGCCACAGCTATTGGTATTCGATCATCTTTCCGAAAGTTCAAATTTATTTTTTCATTAACGATTTGAATGTGTTCAGTGTAACTGTTACCTAAATCAGGACTGGGAGCTGAGTACTTCAGGGTTTTACTTCAGAGCAACTGTGGTGTTAGCGTTCTTGATTTTACTCCCCAACCTGAGGGTGGATCTCCAATTATTTGTTTAAACCGTTTAAATCAGGTATATCAATTGTGTATGTTATAAAAAAATGTTGAACTTGCCATTTTCTTATTATTTTCTCAGTCTTCGTTTTTACTCATTTAAATATTCCTTAACGACGCTTTATTTGCATTATTTTCCATTATCTTTTTTTGGCAGTAGTTTATTTCTAGGCCAACAATTAATAATTTGTAGATTATATTATTTTGTTCTTGTGTGGCATTCCTCTGCTTCCAACTATATTGAGCGAGTTCAAACTGCTTAAAATTGTTTTCCAAGATTATTTATTTACAACTATCTGGAAACGTCTTCACCATACAATAGCTGTTGTCTGCTTTCTTGGCCTTAAGTTTAATCAATTGTAAACTAGCTTATTTAAGGGGCCATGATCTTTTCATTGATGCAGACCCCAAACTCACCTGTAGCTTCCAGTAGTTCTGGAGGCAGAAAAACAACAAAAAGGATCATACTTGTTTGCCATGGAGTTTCCGAGGATAATAGGGTATGGTACTTTACTGACGACACTGTGTTATCACTTTTCACCTTATAAATTGTGTTTGCCAAGTGTAGGTTCACTACATAGCATAGTTAATCCAAAATGTTGAAATTAACTGATGGAACGTGCAATATTGTCTCTCTGATTAAGCTGTCACAATCTTGCAGGCCAGTTCTTCCTTCCTGGAGGATAAGCCAATGAACGTTCTTGGGACTATACAGGTAGAGCATCCATACAATTACCCTAGATAGGTTTGGATCTCATATTATTGTTTTTTCTGGATGCACGACAGTCCCAGAAAGTTGCAGAACTCCTTCTTGATCTAAAAGTGAGCGCTGTAATAAGCAGTCCCAAGAAAGCTTGTGTAGAGACGGCTGTAGCAGTTTCCAGAGTATGCTTATACTATCATTCATGGTTCCTGCTTATATGCCTTTCACGGTTTCTGAATCACCACATTTTACCAATGTTTTCTCATTTCTTCCTTTCTTCATTTTCCTTGGGAGGTTGCAGACAGTTTGAACAATGCCAAATCAGAACTATGACGCGGATAGAACTCAAATAAAAGATAATGAAATTACAATACACTCCCTCAAGTATTCGAGTTACTTGGAACTTTCCATTTCTTGAGATGTCACTCGAGCCTAAACCACTAAACAATTGCCTAACCAAATTCCATAACAAACTTCCTATATAATTACCAAAATAAGCTTTCTACTCTAACAATATTCTTCTCTAATGGCATTCCTATCAGACGCATTTAACATTATATTAGTAAACCGAACAGGATGGTGCAAGACCTTTTAGACAGTGGAGAGGAACAAATTGATGAAAAAACGTAGAAACTGGACCTCTCATTAGATTACGATCTATTTTTCATACTCCCTTGGTATCTTAGTTTTCCACTATTTTATATTGAAAATGGAGTTAAGTTGTCTCCTCCCCGTTGAACAGGATATCCTTCAAGAATATTTTGGTTGGGTTAAGCTGTAGTATGTATTAGGAGCACCATAGTACAAATCCTGGAGTAATTACTATTAATTATTGTGGCAACATACTCTTCAAATGCTCTTCTTCTTTGCATTTTCTATCCCCATGAATTCTTGAGTTTATTTTCAAAACCTTGGTCAATTTTCTTATCACCTGACAATTTAGAAGCTATGTTCTCTTGAGAAGGTAAAAAGTCTTTTATTCTTTGGATGTGTTAAAGAAAAGTATAGGAACTCTTAAGTTCTCTTGAGAAGGTATAAAGTCTCTTTTTATTAGACATGGCTAATTGGTTGTAGGTACAAGAAGCTGCAGATTGCTTGGGTGCTGATTGTGTGCCTCGCTATGTGGAGATGAAACAGACGAATAAACTTGATGTGGACAGTATTCCTGATCATTTCAAGCAGGCAAGATGTCTGGCCGTTGAATTTTAGAATAAAAGTAATACCTTCAAGGTTGTGGACATGCCATGATTAGGTTGATGAAAATTTTGGTTATTTACCTTAGTATAAGTAGATGAATAAGTTGCTTATTGAAACAAATTTTGAAAAGCCCAACGTTTCAGTTATCTCGTTTGGGTTTTACTCAACTGAATGAATTTTAACTTGTGAATCGGATGACTATAAAAGGATTATATTGATTTCCTTGGATACACCATAGATGAACCTTAAACTTATAACTTTACTATTACTGTTACTGTTCAATCCAATAAAATTTTCATTCTATGCTCTTCATTCCGTAGGATGTAGGCGACACCAATGTCTTTGAACCTGGCTGGTTAAACAAATTGAACGGTGGGGTGATTACAGAAGTGTGGAATCAGAGTGGTGAAGCCTGGAAGTCTCTGTTGAATGAGATGGATGATGAAAAGGAGCCGGAAAAGATTATTGTTGTGGTTGGTCATCCTTCCATTCTTTTAGGATTGGTGGGGCAGTGCCTAAATCTCACAAAAGATTGGATTGGATCATTTCATCTGGATGCTGGAAGCATTAGTGTGCTTGACTTCCCTGATGGGCCTAGTAGCAGGGGTGTTATCCGATGCATAAATTACACTGCTCATCTGGGGAGATGGTCAATTCCTATTACTAGACCTACCGTGGACGATGAAGAGTTTTAACGGTAAACGCTGAAATCTAAAATTCACTTGTGCAGTATACCTAAAATACTCTTTGATTCAAAGAAAAGATAACATAGTTAGGACACAGCTGTCATTCTTATGCTGGCTTTTGAATGTGGCCTCTCTATAGAAGCTAAAGATTGTTTCAGAACGATCATATTTTCATTCTGTTCTCTTTCTGTTGTTGGGTAGGAAGTTTATTATAACAAACTACTATCGAACACAGTCCGTGTTCAATGATAGAAAAAATTCTCTGCTCATTTTTTTTCCTTATACCAGTGACAAATTACATTTGAAGAAAAAAAAAACTGATGTAGGTGATGGACAGAAAACACCTAAAGGAACTCAACTTCGATAGAATTCGCCCGAACGGCATGTTGATGTTTGAAATTGCCACATGCAAGAAAACCTTGGGTTTGTTTGAGACAGAATCTTGAGGCTATCACAAAGAGATGTTGAAGATAAATAGAGTAAACAGTCTATAATCAAGTTCGTTGTTTTATAAGTTTGTCAGTTAAATATTATATTTTAATATTTTTGTTTGAATTGTATTTGTGTTGTACATTTTGGATCGGTTATTATAAACATCAGAAATTATGATAGTAAATGGTTGAGCTAGCCTAATTACTTGGGCCATGTATCGTCTAACAATATTTTTATCTAGTTGGGCTGTCTACTTGGACCACAGGTTTCTCCTACCATTTGCATCTAATTGGGCTAGGTTCTTGGGTGATCTATCAAGCCGAGAAATGGGTATGTCCTATGCGATCAATTTCCGTGTCGGTATTCTCAAGTTCGACAATTTTACGCGCTGAAAATGGCATTTTTTTTTTAAACAGGAAAAGATGGCTTTCAAGTTCATCGATGGGTAGAGATTGACGTCTCTGCTCGTGCTGCGTGCGGCGATCCAATTACAAAACATGGATTCAACGGTACACATCTATCCTAATGCAGCAAGTTTAAATTATGGAAAAAAAAAAGGGATCATTTTGCCGGAAAACAAACAGTAGTACCATTTTAAATACTCATCGTGAAGGGATTTTACATATCCAACACAAAGAGGCAGTGGCTGGTATTCAAGCTGTTGGAGCTGGCTTGGTACGAATAGCCGGGAAATCAAGCAGCACAATCTTGTCAATGGCTGCCGAGAAAGTTGCAGAGAATTCAACATGCTTGGGATGCCCGACAAACGCAGCATGAGCTTCCTTGTTCTCGAATGTCATCAAGAAGGCGTGCGTGAAGCCCTGTGTAAGCATCTCTGGTCCCTCTATTTCCTGTCCCCTGTTTTCACCTTAAAACATTCATCTTTCTTCTTCCTTCCATGATAAATCATATGAAAAAAAATCATGTTTACCCTCTGATTAATTTTAACACATCTTGAAACTAAATTATATAATTATCACAAAATTACATAAAACAAAACATTCTACATCCTGTCATAAGATTGTCCATCCCAACCATAAAAATACTTAAACTTTGGGTCCAACAAGAGCGGAGGTTTGTAACATTTTTATATATAATATTTCCATTTTAGAAATGTAGGTGAAAAGTTAGAGAGAGCCTTAGAATCTTTTTTTGTTTTTTTTTTTTTGGGGTAGTATTTTAGTCTGAGTACTAAGAGGTGCCATTATCCCTTCCTTCGCTTCACTCTTGGGTTCACACCAAGCTAAAAAGCATCCAACAAAACTGAAGAAACCAATACCCAAAGAATAGCTTTGAAATTTTAATATTTTAACAAAGGTGGGGAAGATTACCACTCAAAGGATTTGACAGCTTCGACTTCAGAGACGAGATTCTCCATGCCTTTGAGAATCTCTTCTACCGCCGCTCCTTCCTTAAACTTTACGAGCACCAAATGCTTGAACTCTCCTCCCATGGCTGCTCCACCCTTGAACTCAGAGGCCCCTCGCTCTTTATATGTGTATATATATATATATATATATATAAAAACACACATCGAGACATTACGTTAGATTGGATGTCACTGTTTATGTGCACCGACACAGCTCACGTGCATTTCTTTTCTCTGCCGACTCAAATACTATAAAAGAATTGTTGTTCCCCGTCTTCCTCGACAGCATCTCTTGCTCAATATCTGAAAAGGCACACCATCAGATAAGACTTAGACCCACGACTTTTATTTCCACTTGTTTGGATCTATTTTTTTAAGAGTATATCATTTTTTATTTTTTTCGTCCAAACTGATTTTGGGTTCCGTATGTTATCGGCCTGCCTATCTGTTTGACATGATTGTTCATGGTGGAAACAAAACAGTTCTTCTAGGAAAATCATATGACTTCCTTGTAGCAATCGAGTCATGATACTGTTCAGTTTAGACAACTAGATTAGCAGTAACATGCCTCTGTTTATACCCTGTTCAAACTCACTCATCCACTTATGGCTTAATATGATCAAACTGTTCCAAGATCACATGACTGTCACTTAAAACTCTAATCAATACCTTTTTCAGATTTATTTTTATTTTTTTTACTGAGATACACTTCTACTTGTATACATTTTTGAGTTCTTGGTATGGTCTTGAATTCGTGTGCATTTGACCTGCCCATCATTGATAACTATTTGATTTTTTATTTTTTGAAAACTAAGCTTATAAACATTAGTTCGAGATTCTTTATTTTGTTATCTATATTGTGTCCATATTTTTAAAAACCATTAAAAGATAACCCTTCTAAAGATTTGTTTTTTGCTTTTAGATTAGTAAAGAGGTTTAGAGGAAACATGTATAAATCTAAAAAACAAAGAACCAAAATAAAGCTTTAAAGTCTATCTTTTTAGTCTTAAAAACTCCACTTAAATTTTAAAAACATTCTTAAAAAACAGATGAGGTTGGTCTATACTTCATATGTTATCTAGGCAATAATGTTCCCTAAGATTGAGTTGTTGGTATTTACTTATTTATCACTACCTGTATAAGAACTAAATTGATATGTCCCAAAAATACCGCCAGTAGAAAAAGAAAAGATGCGCCTCTATTAGTGGTAGTTTTAGATTCTTATTTCTTTTTCCTAAAGGAGAAAAAGAAAAACTCTTGGGGGGTGGATCCAATGTAAGGTAATACAGGCTAAAAGTTATTTGGGGCCATTATGGTTTTGGTAGCTCTGCTTTTGCACATGACTATTGACTGGGATACTGGGTCGACAGGTTTTCCTTTTGATTCACATTCACATGCCAAATTTTTTCCTTTCATTTTTTCCAATTTGTTGTTCTTTCAATTCAATTCAATTCAATTCCCTCCAACCTTTTCTCTCTGTCATTACCATGTGAGCATCCTTTTGTCCATTACCTTTATCTCAGTGGAAAATGTATTTTTCTGCTTATCTTTTAGAATCTGTATGAGGAGAAAATGATGAGCTAAGTTAAATATTCTCATCTGCTTTGGCCTCTCTGCCTTATATTATATTCCCCATACTATTCAACTTCAAAATCCAATTTAGGCTTTGCTTTGATAGATTTGAATAAAAAAATACATCTTATGAAGACAATCATATACATGTTCTTAAAAATACTTTTGTACGCATTTTTTTTTTTTTTTTTTTGGTTTGCTTTATATACAAACTGCTATTATAAACGTCTCAGTACTATATAACACTATGAACTGATAACTTTAAATTTGTATTTACTTTATGATTGTTCGACCATTTCCCGTAGCTATTGGCTATGGGTGGCAGTTGTTACTAAAGATCGGGTGGTGATAGTCATCGATAGGCAATGACAGACGAACGTGGTTGCCAATGGTAGCTACATCTGGAATGAATGAAATCAATAGATTTCTCTTGCCAAGGTAATGTATGAATATTTTGGTGACGTTTATATTTATCATGAATTTTATGTAATTTTTACTGTTGTTTACCGTAACTAAATTTTGATGAATTGAATGGTTTTTATGGGATTTAAGTATTTAGTACTTCAGTATGATATATATATCTTCAAAAAAATTTCAAATCTTTTTTTTTTTGCATTTTGAGATATTGAGATCCGTGCATTATAGCGAGTCCCCAGTATTCTTATAACGTCAGATTCGTTGCAACTCCCAATAATTTGAATAATACATTGAATGTCTGATCACTACAAGCATGGCCTATCATTTGTTTTTTAAATTTATGAGTAAAGGTTCTAAAATTTTAACATAAATAGGTCTTTCTATTTAATAAATTCTTTTATTTTAATTTTATATTTAATTAATCTTTGATATCTTCATATGTAGATTAAGTTATGATAAAATCAATATGAAATTTAATAGATTCCTTGGAATATGTTTAAAGACTCATTAAATAGAAAAATTGTTACTTTAAAGATTTGTTAAATAATTCTAAAAGTTAGGAACCAATTGTTTATGTGAACCACACATTTATATCTTATATTTTACTTGGTCTTATAGATTTACTCTTTATTGTTAAAATGCATCTAAACTTTTTTTTTTTTTTTTTGTTCATATAATTGTTGGGCTTGTGCTTGATCTTTTAACACTAGTTTTTGTTTTCTTTTCTTTTTTAGAGATTTTGAACTAAATTTGTAAATTAAGATGCACTTGAATTTGTGATTTTAAATTTAGGTTAGTTTCCTCTCAATTTTTCAGTTATGGGTTTTCAATTTGTTAGATAAACACTTGAGTTCTTAGTTGAGTTATAAAAACAAAAACTATTTTTTCTAGTTTAGTTTTTTTAAAATATTGGTAGAAACTCTATTATAATAAATTTCGCAACCTTCTTCTTCTTTTTGGGTTTTTTTTTTTTTTTTTTTTTTTTTTT